AGTCAATCGTCTCTTCTGCTGTCTGAATAATAATAATGACGATGATGATGATAGGGCTAAACAACCAAGTGTGTAGTTAATGCCATACCTTTTTCCTTTCGTCAACACTTTGTATTTTCTTTAATTTTACAGTCAGTAGATCTTTAACTGTTATCTGCATGGGCCCATCTCTTTTTAATGGTCCAGCCTTAAAATGCATGGAGAAGTTAGAATTCATATGAAAACCAGGATATCTAGCCAAATGCAAATCCAAATATAGTTTTAAATAGAATTAATAGTATACACTTTAATTTTATTTACTAGGAGTCTAAAAATATATCTATTCAACAAGAACAAGACTATATTTAGTACTCATAGGCATTGAAGCTATTATAAAAGTATTCATCAATAACTAAGATTTGGATAATAAATAATAGATGAGTGAATTGTCTGAAACTACGCATTTTCTCCACAATACATTATATTAAAGTAGAAGTCAAAGGAATTACTCAGTTCAAAGCAAGGTAGTGCCTGAATTACCCAAAAAATATTACTCCAGCTCCCACAGACAGAGAAGGCATAGTCACATTTGACATTAGGTCAAATCATAACAACCAACTCTAGATTTAACTCAGATTGCCAATTTCAATCAATTACATTTACAGTGAAAATTCTGCAAATTTAAAAACTGAGCGATGCTTATTTTAATGATTCACAAATATTTGGGCCCTCCTGGCAGCAAGTAACTGTAAAGAACACTCGATATCCAATCTCATGACTAAGCTTTAGAATTTGCCTACTCCTTATAGTCTTACTTCATTCACTAGGCAAATGTCTGTTCTTAATTTGGTTTCTGAGAAAAGTTTTCCTTTTTTGGAGTAAAAGGATATGCCAAGAAGCTAATAGGAAATCTGCTCTGTTGGGTTTGATTTATTTATCCCTTTCTAAAAAGAAAAGTATCCTTTTCATTCCCAAATCTGACTTTTATGAGTTCCCAAAGAAAGATGCTTTTGAAAACACAGTAGCTGCCATAATGTAGGCCTGAGTGAAGCCTTACAAGGCCTGGGGGTTTTACTCCTCTATACACAGCAACCAAAGCAGACTGTTTTTAGATTACTTCTTACCTGAAGTGATTGAGTGCGTTCGGTTTTTCTGAGCAGCAAAGGTGCCATCGGTGGTGGAGGAGGAGGTAGTGGAGGAGGAGGGGGAGGAGGAGGAGGTGGTGGTGGGGGAGGAAGATGGCTGGCTGGTGGGGACAGAGGGGGAGGCAGTACAGCTGGGGCTTCTCCAGGGTTGGTTAGTGCACAGATGGGCACATTTTTAAGGTTACCACTCAAGTGATGTA